GATTTTGTAGTAATCTTCCAGGGAACATATTCACTATGGTTAGACTACTTTTTCAGTCTAATGCTCTCCCAACTGAGCTATTTCGGCTTTAGACTACTTTTTCACATTATATCCTTTTCGTTGGTCATCAGCCCATCTATGTGGCAAGACTTTATAACTTAAGAAAACACAAAGCAAAACAAAACAGTTATTTGCAACATAGACTGGAGACGGGTTTGTCTGTAATACCAACGTAGTTTATTATATGACTCGGGTCTGTCAGGGCTGACCGTGACCTTCATTGCATCAGGAAGCTGTCATACTAACCAGTGGATGCTGACTCCCGGAGTCTTTGCTTCGGCACATTCCGTGAGAACCAGTGAAGCTGGTTCGGTCTTCCATCTCAGGTCGACAGCTGGAGTCAGTGTGTGACGGGGCCAGGCTGTGCTTGGCAGCGGCTCTGTAGCACAAACTGGAATGCGGCTTGGTCCGTGGTCTTCTCTTGTTCGTAGACCGTGGGCAGGACTGGGGTCAAGCAGGCCTCAGAGTGCAGGTGTGTGGGCATGGCCTCAACCATCTGGAGCAATTATCGAGGTGCGCCTCCCTTGGGGATCTGGCTAGGAGAACTATTTGAAGCATGCTTCTGGAGCCATCCTGTTGTGTTTATTTCACCACTCGAAGGCCACAAAGTTTAAGGACATCAAATTCCTTCCCGGCCACTACAGCTGCTACTGGGGAGGGACCCAGGGCTTCCACATGTGCTAATTAATCACGCGCATGGCTAGTTACAGATCACATGGGCTAAGTCTGTAAAACTCTTAGGTTTCCCTCTCCTAAACAATACCTCATGCTTGTTTTTTCCTTCCTCTTAATTATTGTTTGATTTCTTTTCTTTCTGTTCTCTCCCTTCCCTACTGTCTTTCTCCGTGTCTTTTTGTGTTTTGGTTTTTGCTTTTCTGAGACTGGGTCTCACTGTAGCCCAGGTGGCCTGGAACTCCTGGCTGTCCTCCTGCTTCAGCTTTCCAGGTGCTGGGATTGTAGGTATTTTTTTTTTTTTTAACTTCCAAACTGTTTGAGGTGTGGTCTCTATAACTATTATGGTCTGATGTTCCCGCCGGCATAGAAGTGTCCCAAACCGAACAGGCCCGGTTTGGTCTTCTTTCTTGGGCTGCTCTGTGGCTAAACTCTAATTGTGAAAACATTTCCTTCCTCACTTTGTAAGGTGGCGGCTCTTACATTTCTCCTCTTGCCATCTCTGGTCATCTTTTTCAACCTTTTAAGTCTTTTTATTCTCTTTGCCCACCCTGGGATCCTGCTAGTATAGGACCTCGTGATTTCCGGTTGAACACACTTTCTGTGTTTTGTCAATAACAACGTGTGTCTTGCTGTTTCCAGGCCTCATCTTGGAGCGTTAAAGTGACATCAGCAAGCACAGCAGAGTTCTGCATTCTGTGTTTGAGTCTGCAGGGGTGCTCACTGGCCTGGATTAGTAGAACAATCTCTCTCTCTCTCTCCCATCTCTCTCCTTGCCCATGGCCTGTCTTCCGTATTGTCTGTCTCCCTCGACAGCTGTGCGTCTCCCTTTCCCAGGCAGCCCACACTGGACACGCCCCATTCTTTCAGCACGTTCTCATTCAAAAGCAGACCTTAACCAATAATCTGGAGTTTGGTGCTCACCTAGAGCCAAAGGACATGGAAACTTCATTTTAACCCAGCAACTCAAATATTGACCATGCTTCAGCTCATAAAAGGTCCAGCTTCATGGCACTAGTCCTATTTATGTAATAAAGCTGTCCTGTTGGAGTGAACTCATTGTTTCAGAGGTGAAGAAAACGCAAAATCATCTTGAAGATGAATTTTTAAAAAGCTGTCGTGTTAGTTTCTGAAGCACTCTGTCTGCCCCCCTCTGTCCGGTGTGCCTCTGGGGTGGTGTGCAAGTCCAGTGCAGCTGTTCCTTAATGGCTGGACGGAGATGGTAGCAGCGCTTTCCTCTGGGGGTTATTGTGGGGATTAAATGAGCTACACGCTGTACTGTTTTGCAGAGTGGGGGTGTAGCTCATACTTGCTGTTATCATCGTTGATAGTTGTCATTCCCAAATACAAGCACTAATAATGCCTTTTTATTGTTTTGTGTGTAGCACCAAGTTACAGTTCTTAACATAGGTTTTCTAGGAAAACATGCATGACAGAATGGTAGAAAACATAATGCTAGGCTAGACAACCGATATTGGGAGTCTCATTATCAGCCTACAGGACTTTCTGTTTGTACTGTGGACCTATGGTAATGGTAAAAGTCCAAATATTTGGGCTGGAAAGCATATTTGTAAGTAGTACACCAGAGACACAAATATATTTCTTACAAGTGTAAGAATTTTTGTTTTCAAGTCAAATTCCATTTTAAGAACAGCAACTTAGCTGTTCAAGAGAAATTGTAATCTTTTGTGGACTGGAGAGTCCTGTAGTAAGGTGTTATAGCATCGAAACTCATCCATTCTAGAGATGCCATGTTTGTCCGGGGCTTTTCTTGTGGTGTAGGTCATCTGCAGGTTTTCTAACTGGTATCTGGTGGGCAGTGAGCATTACATCAGCTTACCACGCTGGGTCAATGCCATTGCCTCACTCTCTTAGATGTTTCTTAACAGAATGCTGTAGGGCTGGAAAGTACCTGAAGTTTCTGTCTGATCTAGATTCTTTGAAGTTGAATTAGGAAAAGAGATTTGTGTCGTTTTAACTATTCTGTCTTTGACACATTAGCATTTCTAGAAATGACTGTGAAAGGGGCATGGACCATAGTTCTGGAACACTACCAAATCAATCTTATATTGTAGTAGGTCACTTAAAAGCTGTAACTTTCTTACTATTTTTGTTTCAAACTTAAATCTAAGACCTAAATCTTGTTGTTTACTCTACAAACCTTTCCCAGGCTGCTGAATATCAGAGCCTGAAATTCCCTAATGTTTATCATTTTAGGTAGGAGGGTTCACAAACACAATTCTGTTGATACTGTGAGTGAATTTATCTTGTTGATATACTACAGGGACTTTAGTTCACTGCTCTAGCATATGACGGATTATAAAAGGGTTACTATTTAACCAAACAGATGTCTATAATCAAAATGAACAGATGTAATACAATATATTCATCTGACCTCCTCAGTGGCCAAGAATACAGAAATAGTGAACACAGAGAGCCACTGTCTTCTGCTGTTCATAAGGAATTGCTTTTGTCTTTTGATAGTTGAAGTTTATACTCATTCTTAAATTTGTACAGTGTATCAAGCTTACCCGTTACTCAAGGGGCATATTGACTCATTCATTTAGACGGTTTTCTTTAATTTCTTAGTAGAAAGTTGTACATTTGATTCTTTATTCCAATTGTTGTAAAGAGATAGCTACACATGTGTTTATAAGTCTATAAGATTTTAGGGTCCTGTGAAGAGAGTATGTTTACTATGATTAGGTTACTACAGTGGATCCATTTTCAAGACGCTATGTGAAATTTCTTTTATGATTGGAAAGATTTTGTAGTAGAAATTGTATTTTAGAATAGAAATTGGCCAGCCTAGTTTTGGTTTTCATGGACGTGGTAATGGATAGCACAAATGAAGCAGTGGTTCTCATCTCCTTGACATTCTAATGCATTTAATACAGGTTTATTTTGTACTTACTGAAGAGTACAAGCTTTGACTCCAATGCCTATCATGGAGGCTCTCACCAAATGCCAAAGGAAGAGTTCTTGGCATGGAATCATGCTGCTTCCCTGATGAAGATGGAGACTTGGGTCTGGGTTGGAGTTGGGTGTGTGGTGGTGTGAATATTTGTATTGCATTACACAGAAGTCTCCCAGTCACCTGCAAAGCCTTGGGTGTAACCCAATCCTGGTTCCAGTCCTGAGGGGTTAATAGCACAAGGAAAGGAGGAGGTATTGGGACCAGGCAAAGTGACCCATTTTCTTGGTCTTTAGGTCTTTTCTAATGATCACTTTGAGTATGCGGACCAAAGGCTAACAATTATCACTCAGCCTGCAAAGACATTCCATTTGGTTTCATAGGATTTAAAAACTTATCAAAAGATAGCCAACATTTCAAAGAAAGATTTCACTGGAAAATCTAGTTGGAAGGTTAGACCAAGAAAGTCAGCTTCCCAGGGTGACCACTTAGCCAGAGTTAGAAACAGTGGTCTTATTGCCAGCCTTTCTTTGGGTTTGACGCCCCTTGCAGGAGACTTTGGCTGAAAGGTTTTTGGTGTACCTCAAGTGGTTCTCAATGGTACTCTATGTGTTGTGACCTTTTTGGGGGGAACGAATGACCCTTTCACAGGGGTCACTTAAGACCATCGGAAAACACAGATATTTACATTATAATTCATCACAGTTGCAAAATTGCAGTTATGAAGTAGCAACGAAAATCATTTTATGGTTGGGGAGTCACCACACCATGAGGAACTGTCACTGCAATGTGGGTCTAAGCATTAGGAAGGTTGAGAACCACGGTTCTAAGGTACACTGTGCCTCATTTCCCCTTCTTGACAGTCTTTAAATCAGCATGGAAAGTAGACATCAGCGCTCCCCTCAACAACAACAAAAGCAACCAGGAAAAAAACGCAACGTGTTTATTGTGAACCATTTTTTTTCATGATTTAAAGCCTGCTTACCATGTTCCTGAAAGTGCTTGCATTTTCTGTTTTCCTTTACCTCAGCCTATTTTTTTTTTCTGGAATAAACAATATTTTCATCTTACTTCATAGCAGACTGACCAGCAGACAAGTTTATTTTAAGCCAAATAACTTTTTCAGACAAGCTAAATTTTTCGACATTTGGGTAGAAACTTTCCTTAAATGAAGTGAATTTACAAATAGCGTTTTGTAAATCAGGTACATCTCGAACTTCTATTGGTTTTTCTTCACGTGAGTCCCATTGATCTAGTACCAACAGCGTGATAAGTGCTTTTATTTGTAAAGACTTCCTAAATTGCATAAAAATCATAAATTTTTTTCTTTTCTTTTTTCACAAAATACTGCCAGCGTGTTGAAAATGGGGACTTCAACTGGATTGTTCCAGGGAAATTTTTAGCGTTTAGTGGACCGCATCCGAAAAGCAAAATTGAAAATGGTAGGTTCTTTTCTCCTTTACCACCTAAACATTATTATTTTAGTTCAATTTCATTACTTCCTCTATTTCTATGTACAGTTCTTTTCCTTTGCTAATATTCTTTAAGGGATATTTATTCATAATTTTCAAAATTAAACAGTGAGTTAAATGCTAAACTTCTAGTTTGTGGAGCGATAACCCTGTTTTATTTTATTTTTTCAAAGCAGATTTATTTTATTTTTAGTTATGTGTACGTGTGCATGTGCGTGTGCGTGTGCGTGTGTGTTTGTGTGAGAGATATAGATGTCCCATTTATGGCTGAGTGCTCAACTGACACTCAACTTTCTAACCAATTTATGAATCTTGTATTAACTGCTGCCCACAGCTTCTCTGACCACGGTTGAGAGCAGCACTAGTTAATGGGTTTGAACAAATGTTTAGAAGGCAGGCAGTTTGGCCAGGTGTCCAGTTACCAAAATGACAGCAGACCCCCCTCCCCCAAGTCAATGACCTCCCCAGTCATGGGCTTTTGACCTGGTTTACGGTACCACGCGTGAATTCTCTTCCATAGAACAGACCTGAAATTCCAACAGAAGGCTGTTGGCTGCCCACATAGAGTGAGTCAGGCACTGTTGAACACACAGTGGACTCATCTTGCCTGACAGGTTGGGACTGTCGCCTGCAGAGGCCACAGCTGGGTAAGACCGTTGGTAATTTTTCTTCCTCAGTCGCCTGCACCAGATGATGCTATGAAGGTTAGCCAAAAGGGAGGAAGTGTCCAGGTCAGTTCCAGCTTAATGTTTCCGTCCCTCACCCAAAGTATCTTGTGTCATCAGCAACAGGGCCTTGTGATCTAGCTATGGTGGAGAGCTAAGGAAAAGCTGCGATTTTTAACATAATTGATCAAATAGCTGTTGCTAGGAGGAAGGAAAAGGAAGCCTTCTGTCATGGGATCCAGGCAGAAGGCATTGTGTGAGTCTTACGGGCGTGTTTGTGTGAGCCGAGAACAACCAGGGCATCTGCTGAGCCGCCGTCATTCAGGCTGTTTCAGCAGCAGGGAAAGAGCAGGCCTTCTCTTTCAAAATGTTTTATATAAAATTTGAATTGATTAATGAGTTATAACTGTAGAATGAAACACGTATTTTGGATTTTAGATTTCAAAACAATTCTTTTAATGGATAATGATGCTACAGAGAGAGAGAGAGAGAGAGAGAGAGAGAGAGAGAGAGACAGAGACAGAGACAGAGACAGAGACAGAGACAGACAGACAGCGAAACCACACACTCATGAGGGCTGGAGGGTAGCTTGAGACAGAGAATCCCAGAATTTGAAGTCTTGTAGGCAGGTTGAAGCCGGGCTCCTCTGTCCCTTACTGGTTGTGGAAGCTGCAGCGAGCTTCCTAACTTCTCCTTTGTATAGCCCAGTGAGAGGAACTGATGCACATCTCGGGCATCTAGTGAGGGTTAGAGACACCGGATGAAGGGCCTTGAGTCAGGTCGGTTAACAGCTACACAGCTGTATTTTTATCACTGATGAGCTAAGCAACGTATTCTCATACGTGGAGTAGTCATTTAACTTAGCTTTTCTTCACCTTCCCAACTTGAAAGCGAAGTGCTCGGGACAGATGAGGTGAAGTCTCTTTTAGCTCTGAAATTAAACACGTGTTTGGTCAGGCTGCTCTTTAGCTCCTCTGGGTCCTGTGCCTCACTGATGCCACGTCGCCATCTAGTGGTGAGATGGAGTAAGGGTTGGGCGAGCACCCAGCAGCCCTGGGTAGATTGGTAGATTCCCAGAAACCACATTGCTAAAACTAGTCCCTCATAACGAGGGTCCGAACATGATGATAACATCGACATACACTTGTTGAGAAGACGTAGGATATTTGAATTATTTCTTGGCTTTAATTAACTCAAAGTCCTTTTAAGAGGTTTTTTCTTTCTTTTTTTTTTTTAACATCGTATTCTCTTTCTTGGAATCTGAACAAACCTTACCTGAAATAAGCTCTGGCACAGGCGCTGGGTTTAAATGCTGCCTAGCTATGTGTGCGTGGACCAGTCAGCTATCCAGCCATTGGTTATTCTGAACCTGTGGGGTTTAATGAGATAATCCATATGGGGCACTTGGTATGGTGCCGGGGGGGGGGGGGTGGGGGGGTGGGGGCTGTGCACAGCAAGTGATCAATAAAATTAGGCATTGTTACAGTCATCATCGTCTCAATGTCCTGATACCACATGTTTACAAGTATACCCCAGGTGCTTTCTCAAAAGATACCCGTGGCTTCTCTTATAGTTTAGGTATATTAGCTCAACCCTCCATCTACTCCTCATGGGCATTTAAGTACAAGCAGAAATTCTCACGCCTTGGTGTTAGGGGGAGCAGATAGGCATCAGACTAGGCAGGGGCCATCATAAGGGATGCCAGGAACCCATGCAGAGACTCCCAGCTGTTGCCACAGCCAAACAGGGCTTCCCGTGGACTTGGAGTCCCTCCGTGTAGCCATTCCTCATGTGGTTCCAAAGCTCTTGCTTCCTTACGGCTACCACAGTCACTTCCCCTCTGTCCTGAGTCTGTTGTTGGGAAATTATCTTACCAAGGAAACCGACAGGAAAACAGACCTGATTTTTGTACGGAGAAAAGGATGTGTTTTCTCCCTCTGTCCACACAGGGGGTGAGAAGTAAGCTTCCTGTAACCTGTTTGTGCCAATGCAGCCAGGCAGGGATTAGTAAATCCTGCCTTCTGGTTCAGACTCCATCTTTTGTTGACCATGACCAAACTCACCAGCGAGTGCTCCTCTTTGCAGGCAGTAGAACCACTTCTGACCAATAACTAAGATGACATCTATTGGTCTATGTGCCGTAGCTCACAAATGGGAAGAGAAGGCAGAGAACTAGAAAACGGGCTGTAGCCAGAAGCAATAGTGTATCTGCAGGGTCCATGGAGGAGAATGGGAGCCATGGGAACCACGCTCAGGGACTCCAGCCAGAAGGGGTTCTTATTTACTCATTTAAAATGTTTAAAAATTATCATTCATGATATTAGGTATTATTATGATATTTTTGAAAGAAGTGTGTTTGAGTGGAGTTTCCTCCCCATCATCTCTCACCTACTGTCCTGTTACCCCAGCCCTCCATCATCTCACCTACTGCCCTGATACCCCAACCCTCCATCATCTCACCTACTGTCCTGATACCCCAGCCCTCCATCATCTCACCTACTGTCCTGATACCCCAGCCCTCCATCATCTCACCTACTGTCCTGATAACCCCAGCCCTCCATCATCTCACCTACTGTCCTGATACCCCAGCCCTCCATCACCTCACGTACTGTCCTGATACCCCAGCCCTCCATCATCTCATGTACTGTCCTGATACCCCAGCCCTCCATCATCTCATGTACTGTCCTGATACCCCAGCCCTCCATCATCTCATGTACTGTCCTGATACCCCAGCCCTCCATCATCTCATGTACTGTCCTGATACCTCAGCCCTCCATCATCTCACCTACTGTCCTGATACCCCAGCCCTCCATCATCTCACCTACTGTCCTGATACCCCAGCCCTCCATCATCTCACCTACTGTCCTGATACCCCAGCCCTCCATCATCTCACCTACTGTCCTGATACCCCAGCCCTCCATCATTTCACCTACTGTCCTATATCCCAGCCCTCCATCATCTCACCTACTGTCCTGTTACTCCAGCCCTCCATCATCTCATGTACTGTCCTGATACCTCAGCCCTCCATCATCTCACCTACTGTCCTGATACCCCAGCCCTCTCTCATTACCTCCCCCTAGTCTCGGTTCCCACTTTCATGTCAGTTTGCCCCTCCGACCTTCTTTCCTCTGCTCCTTAGCACTGGTTTTCACCTTCTCATGGTCTTCTTTCTAGGTTTCCAGCTTTACTTGTATCTACATCCATTTATATATATATATATAAAACAAACTAGGATCCATGGATGAAAGAGAACATGTGGTTTTTGTCTTTCTGAGTGTGGGTCACCTTGCTTAATATTATACTTTCCAGATCCACCCATCTCTATTTTTTCCTACAGATTTCATTTTCTTTGCAGCTGAGTAAAATCCCATTGCAAATTGGTACCACACTTTCTTTATCCATGTATCTGTTAGGCTGGTTCCAAATCCTTTCTGTTGTGAATATGGCAGCAATAAATATGGGTGTGTACATATCTCTGTAGTAGGATTGGAGTCCTTTGGATATATGTTCATGAGTGGCACACTGGGACATATGATCAATCTAGTTTTAATTTTTTGAATGATCTACATGCGGGTTTCCATAACAGCTGTACTGGTTTGCACCCCACCCACCATGAATAAGGGCTCCTCTTTCCATACATCTTCAGCGGCACTGGTTGTCAGATTTGTTGATGTCAGCCATACGCAGAGAATTTAGTACAGACAGTTTGTCACAGTAGAGAATGAAGAACGTAGCGGGTTGTGGAGAAGGTAGAGAGTCCCCTAAGGCTGGGGGTTGTGGAGAAGGTAGAGAGTCCCCTAAGACTGGGGGTTGTGGAGAAGGTAGTGAGTCCCCTAAGGCTGGGGGTTGTGGAGAAGGTAGAGAGTCCCCTAAGGCTGGGGGTTGTGGAGAAGGTAGAGAGTCCCCTAAGGCTGGGGGTTGTGGAGAAGGTAGAGAGTCCCCTAAGGCTGGGGGTTGTGGAGAAGGTTGTGAGTCCCCTAAGGCTGGGGGTTGTGGAGAAGGTAGAGAGTCCCCTAAGGCTGGGGGTTGTGGAGAAGGTAGAGAGTCCCCTAAGGCTGGGGGTTGTGGAGAAGGTAGAGAGTCCCCTAAGGCTGGGGGTTGTGGAGAAGGTAGAGAGTCCCCTAAGGCTGGGGGTTGTGGAGAAGGTAGAGAGTCCTCTAAGGCTGGGGGTTGTGGAGAAGGTAGAGAGTCCCCTAAGGCTGGGGGTTGTGGAGAAGGTAGAGAGTCCCCTAAGGCTGGGGGCTGTGGAGAAGGTAGAGAGTCCCCTAAGGCTGGGGGTTGTGGAGAAGGTAGTGAGTCCCCTAAGGCTGGGGGTTGTGGAGAAGGTAGTGAGTCCCCTAAGACTGGGGGTTGTGGAGAAGGTAGAGAGTCCCCTAAGGCTGAGGGTGATGAGAGAAGCGAAGGAGGGAGAGTTAGGAGGACTGAGGAGCACGGAGGAGGAGCCTCTGCTGCTCGGAGCTCTGAAGGGAACGCCACTGCTGTATAGATCTAGGGCTGGAGGAGTGGAGACCAGGTGGTTCTGCTGCCAGAGAAGACATCAGTCTTGTGCAGGGCATGCCAAGAAAAGCTGGGAGTCCTGGCTGAGGTGCAGAATGAGAAGAAAGCCTTTCTTCGGTCCTCCTGGCATCTCTCCTACATACAGGAAGGATGGTAGAAAAGTAGTCTGCATATAGACTCGGACACAGTCTTAGAATTACAGAGTATGACATTGAAGGGCTGGCTTGGAGCTGAGAGAAAATGCAATTGACGGGACGAGCAGGACACAGAGCCAGGAGCCCAGTGTGGAAACCCTCTGGCTCACTCTCTGAAGCTCATCATGGCCGTGAACTCTAAGTGAGGTCATTTCACTTGCCTGGTCTGCCAAGAATCTGCCAGTAATTGGTGAACCCAGAATGGGTGAATCCCGAATGATTGATAGGTGGTAATTGGGTGTGTTAGGAAATTAGTCTTCTGAGCTCCTGGGGCTGCAAGGCTTACAGTGGCCCAAATTCCCAGTGGTCACTTTGGATTATTGACCAAGAGCAGATCAGTGACTCCGTTGCCTTTGAAGCTCCCAGGAATGCTCGCTTAGTGGAGGACATGCCGGGGCAATCTGGAGATTGTCACCCCACCAAAAAGGAAGTGTCTACTAGAAGGTACTCTCTTCCTTTGAAATGCTAATATTTTCAGTTGTACATGTATATATTTATGCTACACATATGATTGATTAAAATGATGTATATACTGTGGAGTGGTTGTCAAGTTTAACACATGGATCCAGTCCGACACACTGTTTTTAACTACAGTCAACACGTGGTACACTGGGGTGCTTGGTCATAGTCCTCTTGTCTAATGGAATCCTTTGGCCACCATTTCCCCAGTTCCCAGCTGTTACCTCAAGGGGGTAATTTTGAGAAATCTTGTATGCTGTGACTTGGACAGTTGCAAGTGATAATTAACCATAACCCTGTTTCACAGGGAGTTATGCTATAGATGGGAACTGTGCCTTTGGCTTCAAAAAAGCTTCAGCTGTAGATGAAATGCATTTGTTAGGTAAAAAATAGTGTCCAAGGAGGAATATTGCCCCAAGTCACTCTAGCCCTGCTCTGCACATTTGAATGCTTCAGAACTGCCTTTGTTTGGGGGCTCTAAGACTGGGCTCCCAGGATTCGTATTTTCACCCTTGATGAACTCTTTAATGGATTGCTATTCTCGACTTTAATGAACTCTTTCCAATACACAGGGAAGGTTTTTTGTTTGCATTGTTCCTGCCTCTGGTGTTTATAGTTAGGCCAGCCGCTGCTTTGACGGCTCTTCTGTGGCCTTTCATGTTCTCCTGAAACACTCTTTTCCTCCTAAGCACAGTGAGGTTCGAATACTTTATTGTTTATGTGAGATGGACTGCGGCGTTTTGCTGATTGACTACCCCTGTTTGCCTACAGGTTACCCTCTCCACGCCCCCGAAGCCTACTTTCCCTATTTCAAAAAGAACAACGTGACTGCAATCGTGAGATTGAACAAAAAGATTTACGAGGCAAAGCGCTTCACAGACGCCGGCTTTGAGCACTACGACCTGTTCTTCATAGACGGCAGCACTCCCAGCGACAACATCGTGCGAAGGTTCCTGAACATCTGTGAGAACACAGAAGGGGCCATCGCGGTCCACTGCAAAGGTGTGCTCCAGGTCTCAGGGGCCAGCTGTGCTTGGGAAGGGCGAGCCCGAACCCCACTAATGATGAGCGAGACCTGCTGGTGATGGAAAACAGTGGGATGTTTCTCTTTTGTATTAGACAGTTGGAACATGAGCCTGTTTTTCATAATCCCTTCCTAAAGGAGGGATTAATCGCCTTGGTGTGGCCCGGCTTTCTTGACAAGCCAGAGCTTGTACTTTCTACATTTCTAACTCAGGCTCATTGACTGAGCATCCTAAGCAGGGGCAGGGTAGCATAGAGGTGTCCATAGGCTGGAAAGACCATCTTTCCTCAGGGAACTGTGTCGAGGTAAACGTTGCTGGTTCCCTTGTCCCCTTTCCCTTCAGAATGATCTCTTCTCCATACTCTTCCACTATCTGACATTTAGTGCTTCCATGTTGGAGTGCGCGCACGTGTGCGTGTGCGTGTGCGTGTGCGTGTGTGTGTGTGTGTGTTCACACGTTGTGTGGGCCAGAGTTTGACAACAAGTGTGTCTTCCTCAGTCACCCCCCCAACTTTGTTTTTTTTCCTTTTGAGACAGGGTCTCTCACTGAACTAGGAGCCTGCCTTTTTGGTTACACGGACTGGCCAGTAAACGCCAGGGATTCTCTTGTCTCCACGGTGCAAGTGAATACCTGGCCTCTGGAACGGGCGTTTTGAGGCAGGGGTTGCTCAGAGAATAGCAAGTGTAGGTCTCAGTTTTAACAAGTCAAAATGCAGGATTCCCAGTTCAACTTGAGAGTTTATGTAAACGTGAAAAGCCGCTCAGCGGCCACTGCAGGTTTTCCAGGTTGGTGGTCTCAAGATTTCGGCGGAAACAAATCACTCCTGGGAACCGGAGCCTCTAGTTCGCCACCCGCAGCTCTTCACAGTGCCACGAGGTGGCGCTGCTCACATGGCTTTGTGTCCACAAAGGGTTTTTTTTTTTTTTTTTTTTTTTTTTTTTTTGTTGCATTTTATGCAAATCGGCCAGTAGGTGTTGGGGATGGTACCAGTTCTTTTCATGTGCGGAGCGCTGCTGTAACTGCCTTATTCAGACAGTGTGGCTTTGGTTCTGACAGAAATTAAAATACCATTTTGTAGGCCCTTGTTTCTATGTTTAAGATTTTGAGTAGGTGGAGGAACTTTGCTGAACATGTGAGCTGTGGCAGCGATGCGAAGCTGCATTCCCCCAGCAGCCTGGAAGAGAGGGAAGTGAACCCGCACGTGGCCCCCGATTTTAGGGATGGCTCCAGAAGTGGGGCTGCACCCACCTTGGACGCAGCCCTTCGCTCCCCCTCCTTCATGAGGGACAGACCCTGGCTTGCAGGAGGGCCCTTTGGATTGTTAGGTGCTCACTCGCTTGCTTCTGGACTCTCTTCCCCAGACAGGGAGCTGCCTTGTTCTGAATGTGTTTCACAGGCACCCCAAGTTCGTTTTATTGTAACCCTCCCGGCAGGATGGAAGATGCTCTAAATAGAATCTTGTGCCAGCTGCCTTGGCTATCAGGCTGTTGAGATAAAGGACCCCAAGAAATTGACTTTTCCTCAGGAATTTTGTGCTGGGGGAAGGAAGGGCCTGAAGCCTGGTGCCAGCTAGAGGGAGAGCTGTGTGTGTGTGTGTGTGTGTGTGTGTGTGTGTGTGACATCGGTTGACAACTTATCGGATCAGGATCACTTTGCAGATCTTAAGGGGTCACTGGACCCTTGTTCCTCTCCCCACGGAAGCGCGTTGAAGGAATCTCCATTTCTGACTCTACTCTCAAATGGATCTTTAATTAGACCACTACGGATGGGTGACTTAACCTGGCTCATTGTGTGTGTGTGTGGGGGGGGGGGGGGGCAGCTGCTGGGGTCCAGCCTCTGACCCTACATCTGGTAATATAATGTTCTCACATTGTTAAAGCTTGCTCAGATACAAGACAAGGCCGGACTTTCATGTATTTCATGTGTCAGCAGCACCCGAGGGCTTGTGGATCGTGGCAGTGAAGGTGTAGTAGGAGATACTCCTATCATCTCTTTCAAAGTTCAGTTTTCTAAAAAAAAAAAAAAAAAATCAGCATTTTTCCTACAAGATTTTAATTTGGTTTTTTCCCTAGGCAGTTAGTTTTACTCTTACAAGGGCATGTGTTTATCTGTGTGTTTATAAGCCATATTTTGGATCAACAAATTCAAGGGAGAAAAAGACAAAGCTTTCATTTTTTTTTATTTAAAATCTTTCCATACAATATTTTTTTATCATGTTTTCCCCCCTCCCCGACTCTTTCCCTGTCCTTCCCACCTCTCTACCCACCCACCTTCATGTTCTATTTCTCTCTCAAAACAATAAGAAAATAAAAAATGAAAATCAAAACATAAAAATCCAATAAGACAGAAAAAATGCTCACACCTAATACAATGAAACCAAAGCTCCCTACCCCATAAAAACACGACCAACTACTTCTGGGTATGGGATCTGCCCTGAGGTGCGGATAATATACACGGTGAGAGTCCACTGGGGAACGCTGATTTTCCTTTTGTTGGGGGCAGGGGAGAGGTATTAATTGCAAATAGCTTCTTGGTTAGGGGTGGGACCCCCATGTTCACTTCCCCCTGTCAGTGCTGGGACCGTTTCTGGCTTGAACCTGTGCGGATCTTGTGACTGCTGGCCCAGCCTCTGTGAGCTCATGTGCGTCAGTATTGTTCTTGGAGTAGATGGGGATTAATAGAGATTCCCCAAGTGCATAATGTGCAGTGGGTGAGATGCTTTGGAGCACTCGGTCCTAAATGGGATGCCTTTTTAATCCCCCTCACACACCCCAACACACATACACACACACACACACACACACACACACACACACACACACACACACACCAAGACTCAGGGATCTAAGTGGAAGTGGAGGTGGAATGTAAGAGCCAGAGGTGGTAGATGATTCCAAGGAAACAGCGTCTTCCAGACAAAGCTTTCATTTAAATGTAGTGCCTCTCTTGATAATATGTCATGTCTAAGAAATACTGGGAAAAGTAAACTCTGCAGTTAAATATTCTCGTTACGGGCTTTCTCTGTATATCATTTACCTGTGAATGTTTACCTCTTAAGAAATGTACACACATTTTTTTCCTATCACAGAGGTGTTTTTTCCCCCATATTTCTGACATCACTTTTATAAAGTGTTAAAGTGAGTTCTTATAGAGGAAGGTCACATTCACATGTGGTGTTCCTTAAACATGAGGTGGCTTCTTCCTTTCTCCCGACTCGTTCACATAAGTAGGATTCTTTTATAGGGCTCACACCTTTGGTTTAATTGCAGATGTTTTATTTTTAATGGCGTACTTAGCTACCTAGGCTTGCTAATTACTTTGACATCTGCCCTGATTAAGTCAGCTTAATTTTCTGGAAATTCAAGCAGCACTCAGTGTTTTAATTGAACTAAAAGGAGGTGGAAGTGAGACTCCTCTCCTTTGCTAAATGAACTCTCATGGGGGACCGGAGAGAATGGGAATGTCATGTGTGAACATACAGCGTTACACAGAGGTGTGAGACACAGCCCTGTTGCAAAGGTACGGAACGCCCCAGTCAGTGTCTGCAGTCCACAGCAAGGTTCATTAAAGGCATGGCTGTGAATCGGAGACGTTTTCCAGCATGAATATTAATCTAAAATACAGCAATGCTCTTCTTCTGTTGTGTGCATATTGATGCCCTGTTGGGAATCAGAAAGAGGACTGGCAGTCTAAAGCACTTGGTATAAAAAATAGCACCTTGCACACCTTTGTCAGGCTGTGCCAGGGAGCCCTTTAATTAAGGATGCTTTACCATTTTTGTTAAAGTTTTAATAGAAACTTGGTGAAGTACTCCTATTCTGTTCACTGTGGTAAGAGCTCCCAACTATTGAGTGCTAAGTAGGTTCTTTTTATAGACCTAAAATTATAGACTCCTTTTGAAAGGGGGGGAAGCAACTTCAGTTTCAGAGAAATTTGAAAATTCACAGCCCCACCTTTCGGGTGTGAGTAGGATTAGGAACCTGCCTGGGGGCGCCAGGCAGCTCCCTGCGTGAGGAGCGGTGAGGGGAGTCTCCACGAAGAAGCCCACCCGCTCTCTAGACAGGGACCCAAACTGCAAACCCTGGTGACCCGCTGCCTCTGGCGCCTGCTCTACCATGCATGCTCAGCTGCATTGACTCCATGCAGTTAGTTACACTGGCCTTGCCAGCTCTCCAGAGAACGAGTCTCAAGGTTTCTCCACACTAAAGCGAGAGTCCAGTGGGACTATGGTTAATTTTACCCTCTTACTGATGTTGATGTTTGATCTGGCACAGAAAGGGTGCTTGAGGTAAATAGGGCATATACACATACCTCATCTCATAACAGTGTATGCATGCTTTTTAAAACAGAGAGGGGGATGGAAAGGGAGCAGCGGGCAGCTAAGGGCACGGGTGTGACTCTCCTTTGTCCCTTCATTTTCGTGTTTGATGTGCGGTCTAGGCAGTATTGCTATCAAGGGGGTAAACTGTGTGTGCTGGGTAAAATCCTTTGTATTTTTTTCCTGCATAAAGAACAGATCTACAAGCAGGGTGTAGGTACCCAGAGCACTGCAATTTCATGGTGGGTGATTAGAAATAAAGTATCTATAGATGCTTCTGGGAAGCAGTAACATAAGAAAAGGCCAGATGGCTCAGCAGGTAGAGGCGCTTGTGGTCGGGCCTGTCTACCCGAGTTCGGTTCCTGGGGTCCACACGGTGGAGGAGATAGCAGACTCTAGAGAATTGCTGTCTGATCTCTACATGCACACACACGCGTGCACACACACACACACACATACACACACACACACACACACACACACACACACACACACACACACCCCACAGATGAGTAAATGTAACTTAAGGTAACTACAGAAAACTGATTTAAAGACATTCATTTTCTACGTTTTAACACTTCTTGAATTACATTGGGTTTAAAATTTGATAAGCAATAGTGTATATTACACCATTGGGCTGTTATGGCTGTTTAATGTTGATTACTGTACATTTCATAATACTGGGAGATTAGGTTATCTTCATTATTTGACCAAGCTGACAGAGGGGCCCTTGCAAATGCAATATTCTCTTTCCTTTTCTTGAAGTCAGTGGTTTTGTTTGTTTATCGCAGCCCCTGGGGATTGATCCTAGGACCTCATTCATATGAAACAAACTCTCTACCACTACATTACAGCCCCAGCCCTGGACTATTCATACACAAAGCTGTTAACTAGATTTTGGTCCCCCTCTCTTCTCCTCTCCCCCTGCTTCTTCCTGCCTCTTTCTTTCTGATCGGCTCTCACTGTTTATCCCAGGGTGGCCCCGACCCTCCCAGTCCTCCTGCCCCTGCCTCCTCCATTCTGGGGTTACAAGTGTGTGCTGCCACACCGTGTTTTCCTATTTCCTTTTCTAATGAAATGTTTTCAGGGATGAACTTCAAGGTTAGAAATTGTATTGATTTGAAAATTCACTGTGACCCAACCAACATGTCTTTCTCATCCGTCCCTTGTTCCTTATGGCTGTATCCCAGGCCCTCTTGGCCATCTTTGCATCCCTGCCTCTTTCCAGTTTTCCTTCTGCCCACCTCTCCCTTTCCCTCCCAGCCAGACCCTCTCGTTTCTATCATGTCATTTTTTTTACCCTAAAATGTAGGGCAGCTTCTTCTTGCACTTTCCATTGCTTAAAGAAAAATGAAGGTGGTTTTGTTTTGTGCTGTTTTTTCCCTTTTCTTCGGTACTGGGAATTGAACCAGGGGTGTTGTGCATGCTTGGTAGATACTTTGCCATTAAACGACATCTCCAGCCTGAAAAATGTACACACACACACACACACACACACACACACACACACACACACACACACACACTCACACACACACGCACACACGCATTAGTTTTTCAAGGCAGGGTTTCTCTGTTTAGTTCTGGTTGGCCTAGAACTCACTCTGTAGACCAGGCTGACTTTGAACTCACAGAGATCTGCCTGCCTCTGCCTCCCCAGTGCCGGGATTAAAGGGGTGTGCTAGCACCGCCTGGTGGAAAAAAAATGTGTATTTTTACATGAGAGAACTGGAATGCTCATCAGCCACTGCTCTGTCATTGTCCTCGAATCCAGTCTGTGGACGGGGTCCTTCCCCTGTTCTTTGGGGTGCAGTTGCTACACTTCACATTTCTTCTGTTTCCCTTCCTTACAGCTGGTCTGGGAAGAACAGGGACATTGATAGCCTGTTATGTCATGAAACACTACAGGTTCACACATGCTGAAATCATTGCTTGGATCAGAATTTGCCGACCAGGCTCCATCATCGGACCCCAGCAGCACTTCCTGGAAGAGTGAGTACCCTTTCCTAGGACTGCCTTTCGGTCTCGGCCCTGATCCTTCCTGCCTCTTGTTCCCTGGCTGTGGCCCGATTACAAAATGACTGCATTGTTAAGAGAAGGCGGTGCCTCTGCTAGACTATTGTTCCTTGACAGCTCAGGTGCTCTGATCTTGTACTTTCTATCTCTTAGATCAAGTGACAGTGAGAAGAACGCCACCACCCCTGCCTACCCCTTTTCTGTCACTTTCTGTGAAGTGGCTACAGTGCAATTTTCTCCTGTCATCCCACCTGGTACTGCTTGCTGTTCATTCCTTTCCTTTGTTTGCATGTCTAAAAGCAGAGTGACTTAAAAAAAAAAAAACCCTCACCCCTGGGGTCGGTCACTTGGTTCAGTGAGACAGCCAAGTTGCTAATGAAGCTGCAGTTTGTGAATTCATGCAAGAAGGTATTGAGGAACGAAAAGGTAAGAGTCACTAGGTTTCCATTCTGGCCCAGGTCGCTGCCAACTTTATGCTCATTAGTTGGAAGATCCCTTGTACGTTCACTTGTACCTGTGCCTTGCCGTCCAACTCCAGGCCACTGGGTAGAAAGACACAATTTGTAAGAATGCTCTTTATGAAGCAGCTGGTTTCCCCTTGAAATATTAAGCACTTACGTCAATTTACCCACAGAAGGAGGAGAGATTTTTTGTTTTGGTTCGTTTTGAGGTAACATCTCAAATAGCTCTGTTTGGACTTGACCTCAATATGTAGCTGAGGATGACTTTGATGCCTCTGCTTCTACCTTCTGGGATGACAAGGTGTGACATGGTGTTGAGGATTGAACCCAGAGCTTTTTGAATGCTAGGCAAGTGCGCTGACCACTGAGCAACACTTCCAGCCTCATAGGGTGAGGAGATGAAGGTACTAGTTACCTTCAGTCCAGTTCTAACATACTGTCAGTCACTCTTATCTTAATGCAGACCTTTCATCCCTTGCTTTCCTGTCGGAACGGCTCTGCTGACTAGCATTCTTTCCCATAGAACGGTTCCATTCTGACTTAAATTGGCTTAGTTTGGATGAGGCGTCCTAAGTAAGAAAGATGTTCCAAGTAAGCTTTTAACGTCTGAAATGATGAAGAAGTTCTGAGCCCGAGGGATTATTGGTTTACTAATCCTACAGGGAATAACTGCTAAGAAAATGAACATCAGGAAATGAGCAGGAAAACCTCTTCTTGAGATGGAAGTGTAATGAGTTTTTTAAAAAAAAGTTATGCATAAATAGGGTTGTTAAAAAGACAGAAGTGTCTAGGTTTTCCCCCATGGGAACAAACATAATTAATCTGTTGTTAGGATTTTATTCTTAATGAGACTCCCAGCCACAGGCTTCCTCTAGTTTTCTGTTGTGCATTTTCTGCATCTGCAGCTTGGGGTATATGCTTATTATACTAATTGCTTGGTAATGTTGAATAAGTGGCCTCCAGGTTCAAAACTCAAAACCCAAATATTCCTAATCCTAGTTCCTTAAGGCATTTTCTTAGTCTCAAAGTGATCCATTGGAAGATCGCTCCTTCAAAAGACCTGTTATTTAATGCTCTAGGCTCTCTGCTAGGCACAGCTTACAAGACCCAGGACGCCACTGTTTTAGGTTATGTTTTTTTCCTCCTCGGGATGTTAGAGTCCACCATCCTCCCCCTTTCTGCTAGTGTCCACCTCCCAGTGCTCTCTCCACCCCATTTTTCTCTGCCTTCTCTCGTAATGGCACCAGAAGAAATTAGGGTCCTGAGGCACCTGTACTCTGGCTTGAAGCATCGCCTTTCATCTGTAGGTGCACACACTGTACGACTTTGGCAGCATCCTTCCATGTGAGTCATACTACAGTTTTCCAAGTATCTGCCTATGCAAACCGAAGTGCGGGAATGACCTACTTCCATAGCTAAGTGTTGTAATGCTTGGATCAGAACCTTCAGAAGATAGATTTTTTTTCTACCTTTGATGCTTTGTGAGGCATTTTAGACTTGTGTGGAATAAGGCCTGTGTGGCTCATGGGTTCTCCTAGGGCTTTCTTAGATCGTCTCCTTCACTATTGTGGTCCAGGGCTAGTCTGGCAAGTATCAGACTTAACTTTTTACTCTCTTGTTCTCTCTTCTTTGGCCCTTCCTTTCTGTGTGGCTTTTTCCTAGCCTGTGATTGGCGTAGCCCCTGGGAGATGTCATTTGGTGCCCCCGGGACACACATTCATCCAACAGCTGTGCATTGTGTGCAGGCTTATTCCAGGCAGTCTTCTTGCTTCCGGGGTGGAGCTGTGTGTGTCTCAGCCAAGGCTCTTATGGTACCTGCCTTTCCACTGGGAGAGGTATGCAATGGGTGGGTATGTGATGACTTTTGATGGTAGGTCTATGAAGATGTGATAGAAACAGGCGGAGAGGGTGATAGGTAGGAGTGAGGCGTTCTCTCTGCATGGGGAGGTCAAGGAGAGCTTCATTGACAGGGTGTTGAGCTCCCAGGACAAGAAGGAGCAAGTCCTGTCCCCATCCTCATGTGTTCCACGCAGGCCACTGTTTCAGTCTGGAGTGAAGGCTAAATAAACAAGGTGCTACCGTGGTGCATGGCGACCCCAGAACTCAGAGTTCTGAGGCAGGAAGATCACTAGTTCAAGGCCTGCTGGGCGACATAGAATTACAGGCCAGCCTCGGAAATAGAGGGAGATACTATCTCAAAAAACCAAAGTGAAAAAACAAAAAAGTGACAGCTAGCGACCATGGACTGTGAGAAGCTGGATGTGGGTGTTGGAGTGAGTTAGCAAAGCAGTCCCCTGTGTAACCTTCCCACACCTAGGAAGTAGAACACAGCAGCACCCCGCTCCCGGTCTTGAGTTCTTCACCATCCGGCACCAGCTCTTCTGCCAAAGTGACGACTGTTTGGAATCATCACACCGTGGATGAATTGTGCAGGGTTTTGAGCCCTGTCTGAGCAGGTCCAAGCAGTATGTATACCTAGCTTTATAAATCCCACATTCTTTGGTGCTCTTGATAGACAATGCCCGTTCACTTGCATGGCTGTGTAGCATTAGAATGTTTGACTACGTGACGTTTTGTTCTCTAGATGAGCGTTCGGCTTGTTCCCGGAGTTGGCTAGCTTGTGTTCTTTTGCTTGCACTGTCTGTTGGATGTATACCCGGGATGGAGCGGTTGAGTATGTGTGCCTTGGGCCTTAGGACAATTAACCAGCAGGTTCTGCAGGTCTGGCGGCTGAGGGCATGGGCAGAAGTCTGCACTGGAGCGGGGCTTGCATGGAGTAGGGAGCAGAGTGAGAGGCAATATGGGGCCCTGGCCTTTGGGGAAAGATGAGCACACAGGAGTCTGAAGGGCTGTACTGGATAAACATGTTTACTTACTTTTCCTCCTTATACGTCCTGTTATCAGGCTTAGAAACTTTATTTCAAATGCCTTCTTTTCTCGCCACTTTAAACATCACATGGAAGTTTCTCCTAGGCATTTTTGTGTCAACAGCGATTTTTCTTTTCCTTTGTTGCCGTTAAGAGCTGACAAAAAGGCTTTCTCTGTTAAATGTAAACAACTTAGAAGCGAGTCTGTCTCCTTTTCCTTTCAACATGCACCCCAAGTTCTTAATGAGAGGACTTTGGGGTAATTATTTTCTGCCTCACTTCTGTTATAACAGACACCCGGTAAGAATCAGCCTCTCAAGAAGAAAGATTTATTTTAACTCATGGCCACCGAGGTTTCAGCCCATGATTGCTTGGTCCTGTTGCCTCGGGTGACGTGCTGCAGGGTAGTGAGTGCATCCTAGCAGGGAGAGCATGGGGGAGCTAAACAGCTGGCCACCCCTGGTTATGGCTGGAAAGCACCCTCCCCCATGACTTCACTTCCCTGTGTGCCCATCCTCTTAAGGTTCTTTCCTTACCTGGCTGTCCCAGGGACTAGGGACCAACCACATCAATCTTGGGGGAACGTTTAGCACCACAGTTAGCAATTTTGACATTTGCTGTTATACTTGTCTTTAGGTTTCGGGTTTTCCTCAGTCATCTCTCATTTTCCTGTCCATATCGCTCTTGTCTACCTTTGAGATCATCTCAGACACGGCAGGACTTTCCTTTCCTCCTTCCTTCCCTTTCTTCTTTCTTTCCTTCGTTCCTTTTGCAAACATTAATTGAAAGCCACTATGCAGGTAACTGGGAAGTTGCAGTAAAGGTGACGGCTTGGTTTCTGACCCATGGAGCCCATGCTTTGGGATTGAGGAGAAAAGTGCGAACAGACAAATGTGTCAATTATACAGCTGCTCTGATGGATGCTGTGCAGAAAAATAAACCCAGAAGGAAGAATGGGGGTGGGGTGGGGTGGAGGAGAAGGCAGCTTTAAGTAGACAGTGCTCGGGACCTGCATTAGAAAGTGCAAATCACATGGAAACCTTTTTCTGATCTTATTTTCTTCCTTCTGGTTTAAGTTCTAATCTGACAAGTAAACATCATATACCTGAATGGTATACACGATGGTCCGAAGTGTGGACGTATTATTGAATGGCTTATTAAGTTAATTAACAGACACATCACCTCACACACTGCCATCTGATATGGCACAAACACTTAAAAATCCACTCCTTCAGCAATTTTCATGTATATGGTACATTTTCTGTTAACTTTTAGACACCCTTCTGCACCATAGCCCTGTTGAGCAGAGGCCTCCTAACTAAAATTCTGCATCCTTTGGTCAACTTCTCCCAGCCCCTCGACCCCCAGCCTCTGGTGGGCATCATTTCACTCTCTGCTTTTGTGAGTTTGACTTTTTAGAGAGACTGCAGCATTTACTTTTCTGTTCTTGGCTTATTTCACTTAACACGATGTCCTCCAGGTCCTTCTGCTTGGCTGGACATGGCAGGATTTCCCTTTGTTTTGTTTTGTTTAAGGCTGAATGCAATTGCAGAATGCCCTACTTTCTGTGCAGGGATGGATATTTGGTTTGATTTCTTGATTACTGTCGATTATGCTGTAGTGACCACAGGCATGCAGGTAGTTCTTTAACATACTGGCCCAGAAGTGAGTTACATAGACCATATTAAATGTTTCTTCTTTTGAGGACTGTACATACTGTTCTCTATAACAGCCATAGTGATTCACATTCCTTACTGGGGCAATGCAGCCATGCAGGAGGGTTTCACCGAAGGAACAAATGCCTGCCCATGAGAATGTATGGGAGATCCTTGGGTTAAAAGGGAGACTATTAGGAGATGATACCAGAAGATAAAGAGACCAGGTCACTCAGTCTCCTAAGATTTCATCAGCTCTTTTTATTTATTAATTTTATATATTTTGTGGGATTATGAAAAGTCAGTGAAGGTTTTGAATAGAGGAGTCATCACAAATTTTTATTTTGAGGTAAGTGTTAGTTAGCATATACTCGAAATAGTAGCGAGAGATCCAGTGTGCCCTTTGCCTGCTCCCCCAAATCCCTATCCCTTTCCAGACTGGAGTGTGGCTTAACCAGGATGTGGGTGTTGGTGGGGGTCAGTGGAGCGCGTCGATCCCCACCGGGGTCCCTTGTCACTCCTACTTCTTCCCACCCTGTGTCTAAACTGGCAACTAGTCAGGTGTTCTCTGTGGACTTTGTATTTCAAGAGCTTCTGCAGTCTGGATGTGTGGCACACACATACACTCTCACTCGGGAGTTGGAAGGCTGAGGCAGGAGCAGCCCAGGTTTGAGGCCGGCCTAGGCTACATAGTGAGACCCTGTCTCAAATAAATAACAGTAATGATGAGACTTCTGAGCCCGTAAAAGTATCTCTCTGTGTACTTCAATCTGTTTTGGTTCCGTCAATGGTGTACAGTGTTCGGAATTCATGTCTTAATTGTTTGCTTTACACTCAAGTATTTGTTTTGATGATTATAAATGGTATTTCTATTTCCATATCACCATGTTCATTGTAAGTAAGTAGGAAAACAGTTGATTTTTTTAAATGTGTATTTTATATCCTAAAAACTAGGAGGGGTGTGTACATGCCGTGTACATGTGGATGTGGATGTTAGAGGTGGGGCAGGGGACTTCTGTGTATATAGTGGTGCAATTCACCAACAGGACAGTTTGATTTCCTTTCTAGTCCGTACCCTTCTGTTTCTTCTCTTGCTGCATAGACTAAAACTTCCAGCGTTTTGATGAGTGGGACTCAAGCAGACGCCCTTGTCTAGCTCTGGATCCTTACTCCTTGGGTCATGGGGGTGTGGATCCAGGCATTCATCATTAAGCTGATGTGAATTGTTGGAGGTTTCCTGAAGATATTCTTCACCAATTTGTGGATATTCCATATATTTCTGTTTTTCTGAGTTCCTATGAATCTTGATTTTAAATTTTTTCCAAGGCTTTTTCTGCTCATTGCTATGACCAAGGCTCCCCTTCTCCTTCCCCTTCTCTCCCTTCATCCTTATCTTCTTCCTCTTCTTTTTTCTCTTCTCCTCCCTCCTTTTTTAGACAAGACTCCACAGTTGTCACCCAAGTTATTCTAGAATTCACTGTGTAGCCTGGGCTGGACTCAGATCTATGATCCTTGTTCCCCAAGCTCCTGAGAGTGGGCGTCACCTGTACAACACTAACCTGGCTTACAGTTTTCCTCTTTAGCTTGTTGACATGGTGAGTTTCATAGATGTGTTTTGGATACGGATATGGAATTCCTAGAATAAGCCCCATGTGGTCATGGTATGCAATCTTTGTGCATATCTGTAAATCCCACTTGTTGTCATTTTGATACTAGGGACTTTTATGTCTGAATTTGTAAGTGGTATGATACAGTGTGTGTGTGTGTGTGTGTGTGTGTGTGTGTGTGTGTGTGTGTGTGCGCTGTTTTTTGTGTGAGGTTAATTCCAGCTTCATTCATAAGGAGCCCCAGGTCTTGCTTTTGCTCTTCTATTACAGGAAGAGATTATATACAATCCGTATTAATTTTCTCTGTTTGAGACAGTGTTTTGCTTTGTTACCTAGGCTGTCCTTGAACTTGTCATTCTCCTGAGTGCAGGGATTACAGGCGTGTACCACCTATGTCTGCCTAAAGATGGCACTCATGATTTCAATTCTTCCTAGACGGTCGCTCGTGTTTTAGATTTCCAAGTTTTTCAGACTTGGCAATGTTTGCATATGGTTTATCAGCTCAGCATCCCTGATCTGAAGAGCTAGACCAGGGCAGCCCAGGATCTGTGACTTCAGGCGGAGGTGGGCTGCCTGTGGTTATCATTCCTGCTATCACGTGTGCCCTTTGGCTTCCGTCAGGCTGGCTAGAAGTTTATTTGTATACCTCCTCAACTGGCCTTTTTGGTTTCATTAATTTTTAAATAATGTTTTTTTGTTTTTGCTTTTTCTGTTTCTCCCTTTCTTGAAATAAAGTCTTTCTTTGTGACCTAGGCTGATGTGGAACTCAGTATGCAGCTCAACGTTTCATTGATTTTTTTTTCACTCTACATACTTTGTTTTTAACCTCGTTGATTTATAATTTCACATTTGTTATTTCCTTCCACTTGTCTTTGGTTTACTCTGCTCTTCTCTCAGTGAATTCTTAAGGTGTGGCTGAGAACATTGATTCAAGACATTTTAACTCCTTACTAATGTATGCAGTTAGGTTTTTTTTTTTTTTTTAGACACCGGCTCATTATGTAGCTCTGGGTGTCCTGGAACTCATTTCTCTCGGGATCTATCGTACAAATTTTGATGTATTATTGTACTTTGTACTTACCTATCAATCACATCTATCTTTTCGTCCACATCTATCTTTTCATCCATCCATCCATCCATCCATCCATCCATCCATCCATCCATTCATCCATCCATCCGTCCATCCATCCATCATCTCCTGACTGTTGTTCTACATACTTACCTAATGTTCACTGTCGCCGCCCTCTCTCTGCTATCTAATCACTGTCCAGAATGCTGTCAGCTTAAAGAAAGTTTGTGTGGCATCTAAAGAAATGTTAGCTTACTTCCTGCTGTGTACCCTTACCATTTGTAATTGTTTTAACTATCCCACCAGTGAACATTTAGAACCACAGTAGAGGGAGTCATAGTCTTGCTCACTCATCATCATTAGAATCCAGAAATAAGGGAAGGTCCACTTTGTTCACCCATATTATTTCTTACTGCGATAGTTGCCCCTCTGTGCTGTCCTAAAGTTCCTCTTTCTATCTTTTCCTTTTGATTTAGGGAACTTATTACAGTGATTCTCTTCTACGGTGTGTGTGCGCATATGTGTGCATGCTTGCGTGCATACCATGGTACACACTGGGAGGTCAAAGGCCAATCTTAGGTGTTCTCTTTGCCTTCCTCCTTGTTTGAGACAAAGTCTCTTGTTTGCTGCTGTGTATGTTAGGCTGGGTGGCCCTCGAGCTTCCAGGGATCCCCCTGTCTCTGCCTTCCATCTCTGCACAGGAGAGCTGAGACTTCAGGTGTTCTCTGGTGCCTGGCTTTCTGTGGGCTCCTCAGCCCTGAGCTCTCACACATCCTCACCCTTGCCGGACCATCTCTCCAGCCCTCCAGGTTCTTTTAGAGTAGATTTGCTGGAAACCAGTCCTTTTAATTTTCCTGCATTTTGAGAATGTCTTGATTTCTTCTTCATTCACGCAAGATCATTTTTTCATCTTACTGTTGGCAACTTTCCTCTGTCCTCCGTGATTACTGCTGAGAAGAAGTCTGTTGCCGTTTTTGATGTTCTCCACCACAGATGATGTCATCTGCTTGGAAGGTTTTTCCAAAACTTATCTTTGGTTTTCAGGACTTAAAAGAAATGTATAGCCGGGCGGTGGTGGCGCACGCCTTTAATCCCAGCACTCGGGAGGCAGAGCCAGGCGGATCTCTGTGAGTTCGAGGCCAGCCTGGGCTACCAAGTGAGTTCCAGGAGAGGCGCAAAGCTACACAGAGAAACCCTGTCTCGAAAAACCAAAAAAAAAAAAAAAAAAAAAAAAAAAAGAAAAAAGAAATGTATGGTTATTTTGTGTGTGTGTGTGTGTGTGTGTGTGTGTGTGTGTGTGTGTGTGTGTGAATGCACAAGTGTGTGCAGCTGTGTGTGCACCACAGCACGTGTGTGGAGGTCAGAGGACAACTTTGTAGAGTTGGTTCTTTTCATCTTCCCATGCATTCTGGGGATGGAACTCGGTCGCCAGCCTTGGTCAGCAGCCTTTACCTGCTGCACCATCCTACAGGCCTAAGGTTTCCAGGATTTTGACTGCACATGTCATAATGTGGATTTCTTCCATCATTTTTAGACAATTGCTCAGCTTTTCAGGTTTCTGAACGTGTGCCTTGACAAGTTTGGAAATAGTAGTTTGGGGAAAATAGTTTCTCACTATTATGTCTGTCAACCCCCTTTCCATCCTGCTCGCTCTTCTCTCCTACACTCTGTTAGCGTGAGTATTTTTGTCAGGACCCACAGGCTGTGCTGAGCACAGGTGTTTAGTCTGTTTTCTCTTGGGTATTATTCAGAGAGGTCAGTTTCTGTTGTTCTGTCTTTCTGTTCATTGGGTCTCTCTTCTCCACATCCTGCTATTTAGTTTGCCTGCAAATTTTACACTTTTTTCCATTCTAAAGTTTCTGTTTGGTTCCTCACTGTTCTGTGTTTCTTTCCTGGGGTTTGTTATTTTTCATCTGTTTCATGCACGTTTGTAATCATTTGTAGAAGCACTTTTATTATGGCTACCTTTCACTCTGTCAGATAATTCTGACATTTCTATAATTGTATCATTGGCATTTGTTGATTGTTTTATTTCATTCAGTTGATGGGAATGTCTGAAGATGTTATCCTGGACATTTTCCTAGACTGTTATGAGGCTCTTGTGCCCCCTGCCCCTATTTTAAAAATGGTCTCATGTAGCTCCATCTGGCCTCACACTGGTTCTGTAGCTGAGGATGATCTTGACCTTGACTTTCTGGTTTTTCTGCTTCTATTCCATGAGTGCTAGGATTGCAGATTTGCTCCCCTATCCCGGCTTTATGTGGTGTTAGGGGTCAGGGAGGCCACCAGCTGAGCCATGTTCCCAGCCTGTATGTGTCCTCTTACATTGCTTCACGGAGGGTAGGGTGGACAGAAGATTTTCTGTCTTGCTACTACAGGTAGAGGCAGAATTCTGGATTCCCCGCCCAGTGTTTGTGGATACTGGAGGCTTCTAGTCACTGTTGGGTGGATGTGTATAAAACAAGTCTTAAAAGGTCTTACTAATAAAATCAAACCTGAAGCCAGGTATTGGGGTGAACGCTGGAAGAGAAGCAGAACCAGCTACAGCTAACCTCACCTTGCCAATTCCTCAGTTGATCTCGTTTACTCAAACTGGAAGCCTCTGAGTCCTCATCCAAGTGAATCTCAGCTGAACTGCTGCTCAAAAGCCTAAATGCTTAACCAGCCAAAAGCTTCTAGTTTCTGGTCCTCACACCTTATATACCTTTCTGCTTCCTGCCATCACTTCCTGGGATTAAAGGCTTGTGTCACCATGCCTGGCTGTTTCCAATGTGGCTTTGAACTCACAGAGATCCAGACAGATCTCTGCCTTCAGAATGCTAGGATTAAAGGCGTGTGCGCCACCATTTTCTGGCCTCTATGTCTGATGGCTGTTCTGTTCTCTGACCCCAGATAAGTTTATTAGGGTGCACAATATTTTGGGGAACACAATATCATCACAGATGTGGAACTGTAACCTTTTCCTGTGGTTTTACTGATGACATGATGGCTGGGCCTCCCTCTGGCTCATAGGCTGATAAGGGAGGGATGGGATGCCGGGAACTACCTATTGGGATGGAATTCCGTGGTCTACCTTTAGCACCCCGGAGAAGAGTGGTACTTGCTTGTAAGATCACATTCTCCGGCTCACTACACGGCTGCCTTCAGTGCTTCTGTGCTCAGGGAAGAAGGGAGTGGCTTTGCCCTTGACATCCTGGTAGGGGTGGGATCCTAAGATCCCCTCTCAGCCTTTGCTGGTTGCCTAGAATAAGGCCACTTTTGTTTTTCCTTCTTTAACTGTGGTGTTTGGCTGTACTGGAGCATTCACTGTGGAAAGTTTTCCTGTTTTCCTAGGATCCCCTTTTCTGGTCCTTTGATTATAGAAAGCAAGATTTTGTTGATGGGAAAAAGCCTATTCCATCATCATTTGTGGATCATTCCCATCTTTAGAAGCAAATGCAGGATTTATATGGCAAAAAGAAACCCCTGCGACCTCATTGCTATGGTGTCTCTTGAGTCTCATGGTTCCTAAGCAGTTTACCTTCATCTGTTTTCTGAGTCTTCATTATCTGAGTTTGTTTCATATATGGGATTTAAAAATTTTATTTAGTGGGAAGAATGAGGAAAAGTATGTGTACTTCACCTTCCTACAAGCGGTGCTGCGGCCTTATCTTTCGAGAAAATCGGTATGACTATAGTGTTTGGCTTGATATCTGCTACGGTAGGCTGCATGATGTCCCCAACAGGACAGGGCACATTACAATCCCTCGTTCCTGTGGTGTAACTTTATAAGGAAACAGGAACTCTGCAGAACTGATTAAGGATCTTGGCTTTGGTGAGAGTATCCTGAACTACTCAGTGCACCTGCTTGGAGCTTAAGCTCTCTGAAAAGAATCAGGGACTCACTTAGAGAAGGCAATAATGCAGAGGCTACATCGATGCACTATGAAGGTGGAGGGAGGGGACATGTTAAGGAATTTGGCAGTCATTGGATGCTGATAAAGACGAGGAAACAGAGTCTCTCCTCAGAGCTTCCAAAAGGAACTAGTCTTGCCTACACTTTGGCATTAGCTCACTGAAACTACGATTAGATGTCCAAACTGCAGAGTAATAAGGAAGTGAACTTCTGTGTTCCTTTGAACCGCTGTGTGTGGGGCCCTCTGCAGAAGCTTGTGCGTCTTTGCGTCGTCAGGAAATACCGGCAGAAAGATGCACATGCTCCAGCGACAGGTGAGACCCATCTGATCTTCTTGCCGTTGTCCTGCTTTTTCATTTGGAGCATTTGACGTGGGGGAGTCGTGTGGTGCCAGCACTGCTCAAGGAGGCCCAGGCTGCAGCCTGCACAAGATGAATCAGATAGAGGGGGCTCGGCGTCAGAGAGGCTAAAAGGGAGACTGCAGCAATCTGTCAGGGAGACGGGCTCACTCAGAGGCGAGATATGGGCTGAAGAGTTAGAGACACGCACCAGGAACATTTCAAGGGGGAAAAATAGGCTTTGAAGACCGATTCTATGAAGGATGGGGAGTATGAAGTCAGCGATGACGCAAAAGCGTGAATAATTAACAGGGCCATTAGGAGAGAAACGGGATGACAACGGTTCACAGTTTCTCCGTCTGTCACCAATGATGGACTAGGCACGAGGGACTGCATTTTTTTTCTTTCAGAACTGAAAAGCCAATCAGGGCCTTTTGAGCTGTATCAGTTCTAAATCTGTGTCTGTAGAAAAGCTGGTTAGTCATATCCTAATTTCCCTGAAAATTAGAAAAAAAAGTGTATGTCCAGGTGGATGGATGTGTCCTAGATACACACTCTTCTTGTGTCACTGGTGGGGAGAGGTGTCCGACGGTGGCACTTCTGCAAATTGTTGATCAATTGAGACACCTCAGCAGTTCCAAGCTTCTCCTTTGTTATGGTCTGATAGTTCTCTATTTAAAGATTTCCCTAGGATATAAATAAAGCCGTGTTTGTTCAAAATACACATCAAACATTTTTCCTAAACCTAAAACCAAAAATGCCATTCTTAAGCTATAAATATCATCACGAACCTAACATGTTTCTTCTATTAAATGCCCTCTAGATCCTTAGGATGACACACAGATATCTCTTCTGTTGTTAGTCCACTCTGAATGCTGCTTCTCAAAGACAGCCTACAACTTGTAGACATGTGGAGTCAGGCTGTTTATTAGACTCCATTTCTTGTCCATGTCCCACTCTACTTACCCTCCCTCCGCAAGAGAACCTGCACAGAGCTGAAAACCTAGACACCACAGGGAGCTCTGTTTTGAATTATCTTTCCAAAGTAATAGTTTTGTGTTTGAACCCCTTTTCAGCTTTGTTTTTTTTGTTGTTTGTTTTTTTGTTTTCGAGACAGGGTTTCTCTGTGTAGCTTTGCGCCTTTTCCTGGAACTCACTTGGTAGCCCAGGCTAGCCTCGAACTCACAGAGATCCGCCTGGCTCTGCCTCCCAAGTGCTGGGATTAAAGGTGTGCGCCACCACCGCCCGGCTTTCAGCTTTGTTTTTTAAAGGTTTATTTTGTGTATGTGTGTGTGCCTGCTTTTCTGTATGTGCACCAGGTGAGTGCAGGTGCCTGAGGAGACCAGAAGAGGGCATCCGATCCCCTGGAACTGGAGTTGCAGGGGGTTGTGAGCCACCTGATGTAGGTGCTGGGAACTGAACCTGGGTCCTCTCCAAGAGCAGCCAGTGCTCTTAACTGCTGAGCCATCTTTCCAGCACACCCCCACTCCACTCCAACCTTTTTCAATCCATGGATTCCCAAATTCACCATCCTGCTCTGCTAGCATAGCTATTAGTTGTAAGCTGTCATCCGTTAGCTATTTTTCTACATCTTCAGTTAGTTGCAAGTCTGCTCTTCAGTGTCCCCCTGACATCAGAGTGCCTAAGAGTCATTTGTTAAACACTCAGCCTGATTGAGCAGGTCTGGGGTGACACTTGAAAGTCTGCATCTCTAACATGACTCACCTGTGTGCCATGATGCTGGTCCTTACTCCATATTCAATTAACAAGGGACTTCAGCTCATTTTTACTCTGTTCTACAATGTCTTAGTCAGTATTCTATTGCTGTGAAGAAATACCATGACCAAGGCAACTCTTATAAGAGAAAGCACTTAATTGGCACTTGCTTACCCTTTCAGAGGTTTAGTCCATTATCATCATGGTGGGAAGCATGGGTGCATGCAGGCAGACATGGTGCCAGAGAGGTAGCTGAGAGTTCTACATCAGGATCTGCAGGCAACAGGAAGAGAAAGCCACTGGGCCTGGCTTGGGATTTTGAAAACCTCAAAGCCCACCCCCAGTGACATACTTCCTCCAACAAAGCCACACCTTCTAATCCTTCTAATCTGATAAAGTTGTTCCACTTCCTGATGACCAAGCATTCAAATATATGAGCCTATGGGGCCATTCTCATTCACACCACCACATACCGCAAGTTGTCAAGTTATACCACATCTTTTATTGGTGCTTAGAAAACTTGGTGAATTAATTTCACAATTGGGTTGAGTCGGATGAGAAACTAATAGTTTGACCACTGCCTTTTGTTTTAGGAAGTTACTGAAAATAAGATAAACTATGTAGAAAATGGGAAACTGGGGCCAGGGAGAGAGGTCGGTTGATTAAGTGCTTGCCACATTAACATGAGTGCTGGTGGCCATGTTAGAGGAGCAGCAGGTGGCAACTGACGTTCAAGGTGTCAGCCCACCAGGAGGAAACTTCCTGATGGGTGAATCTTGGTTAGACAAGGCCCCGAGACCACAGACCCCAGAGTGTCTTTTGCTTCTGCTGTGCCTTTACATGTTTGCCCCTGCCAGCTTCCTCTGGTATCTGGCATGGTGTGAATGGGTGTGGGGAGATCCCCACTGCCTATAATGTAGTGTGTTTATCTCATGGAAACATCCTGTTCTCCTGGGCATTTTAACCTGTAGATTATTTTGAAGATGATTTGTCCTAAGATGTACTGTCTAATTGATAATAATAATGTTACTTTATACAGAGTTTTGATGAATAAAAATAAACACAAGGAAGTGTCACACAGCTAAAACACATGAGGTTCTATTGAGGAGCTGTATAGACTGTGGCTTAGGTTAATGATTAAGAAAAACAATTGAGTCCCAATTAGCCCAGCTAGCTTAAATTCTTTTAACTTTAATGTTGGGAGATGTGTTCACAGGTTTCAGAGTGCATCACAGCTGAAACACAGCTTTGAAAGTAACTTAAAGTTAGACTAGATGTTTTTGTCAAATAGCTTTGAGGTGAAAAACCTAAGAAGACAATCTAAAGTTTTAGAAAGGCACATAGTTGAATGTAGAACTCTTTAAGGTCAAGGAACAAGAACAAAGCAGTCCAATTATTATTAGCTGATGCACTTTTTTGCTAGGATTGGTTGATGACCAATGGGTATAACTCCCTTATACCCATTTCTGCCTTCAATCTCCTGACATAAAAATTTATTAATGAGTGGGTGTGTACCCTAAAGATTTAAACTAGAGCTGACTGATTCTTTTTCATATATAAAAGTTTAAATTTGTGATTCTTTTAAGATTCCTTATAAGGTTATCTTTCAAGATAAGTAATAAAGTAATTGGCCCTTTCTTTGTAACTGCAAAATGCAGCCTGCCAGTAAAAGACCTGAGTGAGAAGAATACCTTGCTTGCCCACACAGTTAATCTATGAAGTTGCTCGGCTATGAATGTATGTGAGTTCTTGGGATAATTCGTTTTTCACCTATAATACATAAAACATTTAATCATGTAAGGGATATGGAAAACATGCTGTTTTTTTTAGTGTTTGTTTTGTATTCATTGTAATCATTCGCTTGAAAAACAGAATGTATCCACATTGTAATTTTTATATTGCCTGAAAGATTTTGCTGGGGTATATGAGCTGTAAGAGCAAGAATAGAGATGGAGTTAAAATGGACTAGAAGGAAAACATCAAGAATGAGAGTTAGAAGGAAAACATCAAGAATGAGAGAGGTAGAAGGAAAATATCAAGAGTGAGAGAAGGAAATCACCAGGAAAATAAAGAATAGAGAATGCAAAAGAAGAATAAAGAAAAGGTCTGAAGGAAACCTCAGGAGAGTGTGTGAGTGTCTTTTTCCCTAACTCACTCATATAAAAAAGTCATAGTATGCGCTGACACCGTGGATTCCTTTCAAGCCCTGGGCTGTCTGGAGGCTAGTCACCTAGGTAGCAATACATGAGCACCAAATTCTGTTCCCCAACACCTACTTAAAAAGCTAGGTATTCTAGCCGGGCGGTGGTGGCGCACGCCTTTAATCCCAGCACTCGGGAGGCAGAGCCAGGCAAATCTCTGTGAGTTCGAGGCCAGCCTGGACTACCAAGTGAGTCCCAGGAAAGGCGCAAAGCTACACAGAGAAACCCTGTCTCGAAAAACCAAAAAAAAAAAAAGCTAGGTATTCTGGCTTGCACCTTTAATTTCAGAGCTGGAGAGGAGAGGTAGGAGGATCACCAAGGCTTGCCAGCCTGCTAGTCTAGACAATTGGTTAGCTCCAAGCTCCATAATGAATTCTGTCTCAAAAAATAAGGTAGATTGAGATGAAAAAAGATAACTGAGATTGTCCTCTGATTTCCACATACACACACGAACATACACATGTCCACCCACGTGCACTATATTCCACCACAAAAAACATGGCTTGGGGTGAGGCTTAAAGTTATGTTGGAGGGCTGGCTAACATGCATGAAGCCCTGGGTTTGAACCCCAAATGAACTATTTATGTTGGCTGTGGTGGCACACACCTGTAATCTCAGCAGTGGGGAGATGGAGGCAGGAGGATCAGAAGTTCAAGTTCATCCTCAGCCACCCTGGTAATTACTGGGTTCATTGTCATTTCTTTTTATGACCTTTTTTAAGGTACATTTAGTAGTAGGTCAAGGAGTGCAGCTTAAATGTTTTAATAGCAACTTTAAACATTTAATATTTGGCCTTTCCTAAAATATAAAAACTTGAAGTCTTAAATATTATTAAAAATTATAATTCAACAGTGGAAGATACTATGGTTTGTGTATCAAAATAGTAAGCATTTTGCTTAAGTTTTAGTTTACATTATTTGTCAAAAGTCACGTTTTTAGTTACATAAACTGCTGATTTTATTTTTAATGTTTACTCTTGAACCTTTCAATTTATTTAATGGCCATCAGTTGACATTAAAAATTACTAGAGAAAAAAAATAAAATCTTAATATTGGTTCAAACATCAATAGCAATTGCTAGAATTTTCAACTGCTGTGGCATAAGAAACTTACCTTGAATACTTATGCCAGTTACACTAGATAAAAGTTTGGATAATTAATTTTTTTGTAATAAGTTATTAAATTAAATATTACTTTTAACCATAAAAATTTAACCACTTTTAGATGTATAGTTTATTGATTTTAAGTACATTCACAGTATTCTGATTCCATTCTCACTATTTATGGAATCTTTTTTTCAATCATTCGAGACAAAAACTTTGTATCTATTAAACGATAAACCTCCACTGACCCCTTCCCCCAGTTATCAGTGACCCCCATTCTCCCTTCCTGCTATATTAATTTTCATAGTCTGGGTACCTCATATGCTATCTGGCTTATTTGACTATGCGTGTTTTCGTAGTTCACTCACTTCATAGCAGTTAATTATACATGTCACAATCGTAGCATGTTCTTTGTAGCATGCATCTGCATTCCAGCTGTCCCCCTTTTTTTGCATTGGTGGGGATTGAACCCAAGACTTTTGCATGAAAGGCAAGCACTTTATAATTGGGCTATATTTCCAGCCCCTTCCTTCGATTTTAAGCCTGAATACTATTCCACTGTATGTTTATATTTTGTGTACCCATTAACTTGTTAATGGACATTTGAGTTGTTCCCAACTTTGGAATATTGTGAGCATTGCTGGTTTGAATACCAGTGCGTGAGTATCTGTTTGAGGACCTGTGCTCAGTTTTTTTTTTTCTTTCTGGACTATGTGGAATTCTTTGTGTAGCTTTTTAAGGCATTGCAGAGCTGCTTTCCACAGCAACTGCTCCATTCCACATCTCCACCAGTAATGCATGCTGGTCCATATGCAGTCAAATGATGCTCTGTGTCCTTGTCCCAAATGGTCAGAGATAGGAGTTGAAAGAGGAGCATGGTAGATTGTTAAAAGGTTTGCATTTTGGTTTAACATGCAGATGGTCTAGCAGCTGATCATGGGAATTCTGTATCTAAAAGTAGATTTATCTACTTGAGTCTTTTAAAGTCTATCCCAAATCATTTTACCCTTCTGGTAACTTACTTGTATGCTTCAGGATTGCAAGCCTTCCCCCTATACCATCAGGAATTCTACACAGTCTTCCACTTGGACTTCCATCACTGCGGGGCGTTTACCCACCAACCCCACAGTTCCCCAGAGTTTTCTTGAGTTTGAGCAGCAGGAAATAGTAGATAGAAGGATTTAGATTGTGGAGATAAACAGATAGAAAATACAGGATAGCCTCGAGAGGGCCTGGAACCTATTCCAACGGGCCCTGACTGTCTCTGCCCTAAGGTATTTATAGAAACGCCAAGGGGGTGGAGCAAAAGACCCCCCCCCCCTCCAGCACAGCCAAGTACAGACCATCTCAGACACCTGCACTCAGGCCCGTGGTCCAATCATCCTCTCTCTGCAGACCTGCTGGGTAAAGCCACGAGGAACCTGAAAATGGGCTCCCACACATCACCATGTGACTTTCTGATTGCCTTCCTCCAGCTCACTTTGTGTCTCTTGTTTGCTTCTTGTCCGGCATTTTTTGATCTTGTTAGGCTGTTTCACTAATGCATACTCTAAGTTAGGAATCACCTCTGGTCCTCTGGTTAATGCTAGACCAAACTAGAAAATGGGTTAGGGAGCCGAGGAGATGGCTCAGTATAATAGCACTTGCCACGCAATCATGAGGACCAGAGTTTAGATCCTCAGAACCCACGGAAGGGCCAGATAGACTCAGTGGCCTGCCTGTAACCTGTGTATTTGGGAGGCAGAGAGGGGACCCACTGGGGCAGGCTGGCTAGCTAGAATAGCTTGTCTGCGAGCTCTGGGTCAACTCAGAGACTCTGCCTCAGTCTGCAAAGTGGAGGATGATTGAAGAAGACATCTGACCATACTTCAGGCCTCCACATGCACACACACACACACACACACACACACACACACACACATACATGGACACACCCACACCCACACATATCACACCACATATATATACAAGCTCAAAATAAAATGGCTTAGGTTTCTATATCAAATGACCAAATCATGGCTTTGGATGGACACTGGGGTCAAAGTTGGTCCACCCTGGTCAGCAGTGTGGCAGAAGGAGTGATAGCATTGAAGAGCTGGGATAATGTAATACAGCGTTGGCTTACCTTAAGGCAGTGAGGGAGAACGTGTCATCCCCAAATAGAAACAGCTGCTCAGCGACTTCTGTGTGTCCTGTACTCAAACGCAGAAATATCTAGAACAGCACAACTGACCTGAGTTGCACTAAAAGCAGATATTTACAAAGAGGCATCCAAACCAATTACACATTGGCACATATTGAAGCCAAGTTATTTAGTTATTTTCTTATACCCCACATTGGTCTATCCCAAATCTGACTAATTTGGGCCAGGATGAAGCCAAAATCAATTACCCCAACCAACCTTGGCTACATCTTCCTGGAAGGCTGCATTCAAATCAAGATAAACCTCTTCCTGTTGCTCCAAAGCACGTCTATTAGCAGAGGGCCAGTCATTTCTTGCTCTTGGGAAAATGTGCTACAGTATTGGAAGGCTGACTTTCAGCAGATGTGTTAGCTGTACAAGAACTGAGTTTTCAACGCTAAATACTTTAAAATACATGTTTTACTTCTTTTGTTTGAGATGAGGCTTTTAAGGGACACCAGACACCACTCTAAAAGCTAGCACAGTGTGCGTCGTCTATGGAAAGGGATCTGCGTGGAACACCGCTTCCTTTTGCTCAAGAAGCAATTGCGTACATCATTGCTTAGCAACACTTGGTTCAGCTCTGACATCTTATTCATCTTTAATATTCAGGTTCAGATCACGTCTTTCCAGAGACAGGGCAGGTTGAGTCTTTTAAACCAAGCAAGTGGAAGTTGTCACTTTGCAATTTTCATCCTGGGGCTGGCTGTCAGCAGTATCTGAGATTTCATCTTGTAACTTATGTTTGAATTGGACGTGTCTTTTCACTTTTAGCCTCTTTTAGGTCCGTCTGCCTCTGTTCCCATTTCATACTGTATTCTTTTAAATTTTGAAAAACGCTACCATAACCTCTGTATTTGGAGCATCGCATTTAAATATCTTAGGGTGACACCTGAGACCCATCATGAGCAAGGATGCTTCTCCACATCCTGTGCGGCAACCAAATTAAACCGCCCTGCATTCTCTGCTAGGCCATCTCCTAAGCTCATGCTTGCTTTTTGGGGGAGGATAATCTTGGACGGGTGAGTCCTGCTTGTCTTTCCAGATGGGGCCTTGCATCACTTAAGGACAGGAATGCATTCTGAGAAATGTGCCCTTAGGCAATTCTGGCAGCTGATGTACTTTGCAAACCTGGATGGTATAGGTTGGCCAATCACCAGCATCGTTTTCAAAAGGAGGGATATGCAACTTCTGCATTGTAATATGACATTGTGCTTAATGGTAGACTTCCTTTTTTATGGGGGGGGTGTGAAAAGAGGGAGGGAAGGAGGAGAGGTGTGTGTGTGTGTGTGTGTGTGTGTGTGTGTGTGTGTGTGTGTGTGTATGCAGGTGCATGTGCACACAGACACTTTACCTCTGGGCTCATAGGGGATGTCTGATTCCTGTAGATAGGGCTTGGCCTCTTCGCCATGAGTCTTGTATGAGTCTGAGCCACAGGGCCTCAACATGCTGGATTTCAGTTGTTTACTTTCCCCATCTTAAGAAACTTCTTGAGGGTCAAGGATTCTGTCTTTTATCTTAAATTCCACCTTTTTCTCTATGTTTCATGTATCTGAACTTGTCAACATTTGTGATAAAGCAGAATCCTCCCTTGCAATAAGTTCTTGAATGTTCCTGGATGAATTCATCATCCATCTTCTGACCTGTTCTTTCTCTGTCAAGGACTCTGCTATTTGAAGAGTAAAACATCCGATCAGGACTATGATAGATGTCGGTGTGATGTAGAGGCTGGGGGTAGACAAAAGGCAGGATGTTTTGAAGATGTAAAAATATAAGAGGCCAGGCTACACTTTTCTAAACATTTGCACAAAGGAAAGAGGGTCGTTTTAAGGTTGTTTTAAATGGTATTTTTTCAGCTGATATAGAAAATCAACTGTGACTCAGTGGTATGCTAACAGCATCAGTTTATATATCCTAGGCTTAGAAAATACAACTTGAGGAGCCGTTTCCAAAAGCAATTTCTACCACAATAGAAGACAGAGACAGCCTAACTCCTTAGTAAACTGGTGTGGCTAGATTTCTGAGCTATTGTTCATATTTTAAAAAATCTCATCTAAGTTTTAAAGTATTTATTTAGAAGCATAATGGTATAGTCTATGATTTCATCACCTTTCTAGTCTAATTGTTAAATATGTTGTTAATATCTTTCTTGTTAGCTATCATAACATCGAGACAGTGATCATAGCTTAAATATTTTATTTTCTCTCATTTTGACAGAAAACAAGCATCATTGTGGGTCCAAGGAGACATTTTTCGATCCAAACTGAAAAATAAACCTTCCAGTGAAGGAAGTATTAATAAAATTATTTCTAGCTTGGATGATATGTCTATTGGTGGAAACTTATCTAAATTGCAGAGTGCGGAAAGGTTTGCAGAGGTGAGTTTTCCCCAGGAGGAGTCTACCTCCTTCACACCGGTATTCTTCATGTTTCCCCCACTGAACACATGTCACATGGATCTATCTTTTCTTTCTTCTTTAAGCATTTGTTTATTTATATATATTTGTGTGTGTGTGTGTGTGTGTGTGTGTGTGTGTGTGTGTGTGTGTGTGTGTGTTTCTCTGCATGCTACATCATATATGTGGTGCTCAGAGGACAACTTTTGGGAATTGGTTCTCACCTTTACCACATGGGTTCTGGGGATCAAGTTGAGGTTGTCATCAGGCTTGGTGGCAGGCCTCTTTGTCTGCTAAGCCCTATCACCAGCCCGGAGACCTTATCTAGTCCCTGAGCTCCCAGGAGACCTGAGTTCCTAAGTCATTGACCTCTAGAGTACAAAGCAGAACAAAGAAACCAGTTGTCTTTATAAAGGAAGAAATAAAGTCATCATTGAGGGAGAACAAGTATAAGGAGAGCGATTCTGATGTAAGGACTATTTATAGAAAGCCAACAGAAAGTATAGTTTCCATTTGAAAACAGAAACAGATAACCGAGAAGATAACGTTGGATGCTGCTTTTGCGGAAGCTGTACCTAGCACAAGCCGTACTTTGAAAGCTTCTGATTCATTTTGATTTCTAAAGTGTGCAGAGGGAAAGCAGAGTTAGGACAACTTGTTTTATACAGTCTCCCCTCTACCAACCCCCTTTAAATGGCCATTCTTTAGCAGCTGATCTAGTCTGCATTACCGCCCGGTGAATTAGGTAATATCTCTGTTTTGTAGTAAGGAAATTGTGTTCCGGAGATGTGTTGACTTCACTTTTAAGGCATGATTCGATCTGTGTCTGTCTGATTCCAAACTCATGATTTTTTTTTTCCTATTGTTCCCAACTACCTCTGAGGTAGCAGGAAGTGACTTACAAAGAATTTGGGAGCTGGAAGTAACTGTACTAGTATCATTTGTTCTAATTCTTTTCTGTGGATAAGAAATGAGAGTTCCAAAAATGTGATTTGCCCAAGGGTCTTGAATTATTGAATAGTGGAATCACTTTCAGAACTGGGTATTCAATGCTTAGTTTAGCCTGCTCTTTATCCCCCAGTTCCTCCAAGAAAGGGTCTGTAGCCTAGGTTAATCTGGAGCTCAGGGTGACTCACCTGTCTCAGCCTCCTGAGTCTGGGATTACAGGCACAAGCTGTCATGCTTGACCTGACAAAAGTAGCTCTTTGAGTAACATTGTGCCTGAGGTAAAGCTAAGAATTTGGGTTGTATTTTTATACTCCTAAAGAGGCAAAAGAAACAGGAATGGCTGGGGAGATGACTCAGCTGATAAAGATGTTGCCTTGTGGTGTGAGAACTGGAGTTCAGATCCTCAGAAGCCACAGAAAATCAGGACAAGTGTGGTAGTCACCTATACTCTCAGAATTGGGGAGGCAATGGCAGGAGGTGCCCGAGGCAAGCTGGCTAGATACACTAGGCAGGGTCAGCAAACTTAGCTCAGTGAGAGACCCTGCCTCAGTAAGTAAAGTGGAGGGTCATCGAGGAAGATAGCTGATGTCAACTTTGGAACTTTGGACATTTACAGACATGTATATGTATTCATATGTTGCGCATCTCACAGACACATGCATAAATAAAAGAATCTGGTGAAATATTTAGGTGATAAGTATAGTTTACAGTCCCTCAGCTGGATGCCCATTGAACCAGACCAGGGCTCTGAGGAAGCTTAGCCCCCAAGAGCCCTCCTGGAAGGAGTGCATAGCTGTCTCAAACCAATGCTTGACATCCCCGCCAAAGACTTCTCTTGGTTGAGAGACATCCAGAGCTTGGTGAGGGGAGGGGGAGCTTCATTCTAGGGCACGGATGGGGGTCGCTGAAGGAGCTGGTTTTAAATCTTGTCTCCCAGGACTGTCACAGATGGCATGGCTGAGTTTACCGTTTGAGTTATCTGTCCTGATGAAATGTAAATCTTAGCCAAGGTCATGATGTTCAGACCTTTGTGGACTTTTTCTTACCTCTGTTGCAGTCTAGACTATGAGCAGCAAATGAGAGGATCTGAGCTAAATTTTAACGAGCTAATAGTCCTGAACAAGAACACCTTTTCTTCCTTGTTCTGGGTTATGACTTCTAAAAGACGAGTGTAACATTCATCTCTCCATCTGAAGAACACAGTTGCCTTTCACCAACAAATGCTTTCTAAGTTACAGTCTCTTTTAAATTACTATCTACCCCAGTGGTTCTCAACATTTCTGATGCTGTGACCCTTTAATACAGTTCATGTTGTGGTGATCTCCAACCATAAAATTATTTTCGTTGCTATTTCGTAACTGTAATATTGCTCCTGTTATGAGTTGTAATGTAAATATTTGTATTTTCTGATGGTCGTAGGAGATCTCTGTGTGAGGGTCATTTAACCACTCAAGGGGGTTGCGAACCTCCAGGTTGAGAACCACTGATCTAGCAGATCATTTCATTCTCCATTTTTACATTCCTATTTGTTCAATTCAGGACTAATTACCCTTTACCATGGGAAGATCAGAGGATGCAGTATGATTGAAATTTAAAATATGTCAGCTTGAAGTATAAGTCTATGTTTTGATGTCTCTCCCCCAGCTTAGTTCATTCAAGCTCCTGCAACAAAATACTGGAAACTGTGTGGCTTATAAACAATAGTAATTTATTTCAAGGCATTCTGGAGACTGGGAGGTCCAAGGTCAAGCAAGACCTTGGCAGTCACTGTCTAATGGGGGCCTATCTTCTGGTCATAGATGGTACATTCTCCTTGTCCTCATGGGATGCAGGGGCGAGGCAGCTCTCTGGGACCTTCTTCACTCCTGAGGACTGTCTCATGATCTAACCACTCTTGAGAGACCCCACCTCTAACTATCATCACGGTGGGTTAGAATCTCAATGTATGAACTTGGGGGAGATGCGGATAATGTGAATTTTGGTAGGGCCCATCAATAGTTGTTTTCATTTTAGCCATTCATAAGTGCTGTTGTTCTTACCGTTAGAATAAGGAAATGAAAAACAACAAAACAAAACAAAACCCCCTCAGGTCCTGGAATACAATGGGATATTAGCTACTTACTTCATTGCTGGGACCAAGTACCAGGCAAGAAACACCTTAGGGAGAAAGGGCTTATTTTGGCTTGTGGTTTGAGGAGACAGAGTCCATCATTGCAGGGAAGGCATGGCGTTGGGGGTTTCCATGGCAGCGAGAGCATATGGCAGCTGTTTCTTCATGTCACAGAGAATTTAGGCCTGGAAGCCAGGCAAGGCTCTAAAAGCTCAACTCCCACCTTCCCCCATTCCTCTCAACATCCTACTTCCTCTAACCAGGCCACGCCTCCTGAGAGCTCCACATCCTCCCAAAACTGCACCATTGGCTGGGGACCAAGTCTCTAGACACAGAAACCTGTATGTTACATCCATACTGTAACAGATGGTATGGTCTTCCATAATGACTTCCGTGTGGCCTTTGGGCCGCGTCCTACAGAGTTGACGCCTTATACAATGAATACTTCTGGACTCTTTTTCCAGATGTGTCTGTCTAGTACCAGCCATGGAACAGTGCACAAGGAGGGGAAAGTAAATGGACTCAGCAGAGTTGGTGATGTGTTTATTGTTTTGTGAATCTGTCTTGGTGTATAAAGGAGGAGTCCATGGTAGTTCTGGATTTATTTACTTTGTATGTAAAGTAGAAAAGGCTACACTCCTCTAAAAGTTGCCATTATAAAAACAACAGATTGAAAGCAGAGAATCTCCATTACATTTGGTTTTGTAGATCTACAGCAGTTTTCTTGTGATTGGTCATTGAGAATCACTGTAATGGCTGAGTTAGAGGGCCAGAGTAAAAGAAAACAGTAACCAGAAAGGCTGGGGCTTTCTGGTGAATTTCTCAGCACACTCCGAGTTGTTAGGAATCGTTGGGCGCTAATGCTGTGTGTGCCCTCGTAGGCCTTCAGTGCTGGGTTGGGGCAGCTCGTTTCCTTCACCACCCCTGTGGGGCAACCTCTTCCCCCACACCCCCCACTCATGCTGAGCTGTGAGCTTTTCTTCCATGCTGAGGTTTTTTAGCCCTTTCCCAGATTTAGCTCATCTGGAAAAAGAGCTAAATCAAAAAATCACGTTTTGATTCCTGGGCTGCACAGTCTTAGGAAATATTACTTGAATGAACAAAGAAAGCTTAGCATTTCAGACCCAAGAATAAAAGAGAATAGACCTATGAAATTGATACCGATGCAAACGGCCCAATGACATCACATGTTGAAACACAAAACAATACCAAAAATAAGGGTTCTCTATGATTTTCAGGGGCACAAGAAGCCATTGTGGATTGGAATTCTAGAAGGAAGTGGCCAGAGGAAAGAATGTGAAGAGCTTTATTTAGAGTACAAATATTTGAGCTAAACTAGGAGTTTAGGGGTGACAACCACCTAGGTAGCACCCACTGTGTGCCAAGTACCATTTTAAGCACCTTATGTGGATTAACCATGTAACCATACAGCACAGCCACCAGAACGAGGACCCTTTGAGAAAGACTGAAAAGAGGCAGAGGAAGATGGGCACCTGCCCAAGGTAACACACAGTCTGTAGTGAGTTGTCCTTTGAACACAGGTGCATTGGTTCACAGACTGTGTTTCTCCATGAGTCCCCAGTGTGGCTCTACTACATTCCACACAGGACTTAGAACCATATCTTTGCCAGCTCCTCATCTGAAACTTCTCTCAGAGTCACAATGAGTTCCGTCTTTCATTTAGCTACTCTAGGGTTGTCTTCCAGCATCCATCTCCCAACCAGGAGATGCTCTTGACTTAGAGATGTTCATTAGATGCAGATCTGATCATGTGAATTCATGATTGACCAGATAAGAAAGTAGTGCTACATCTTTGAGAGTCACGTCTTTGAGCTACTGCATTTTGTGCCCATCAAGTGCTCATGAACTGGGTACCTCTTAGAAAATTCCATAAGTCAAGCACATTTCTAAGACTTTACTTTCA